GCCCAGCCTGGTACCGCTGTGAAATCATCCCTAGAGGTGCAGCAGGGGAGCCAGGATGGGAGCACAGCCCCTGGGGCTGGGAGCAGGTCAGGGGCTGCCGGGGCCGGCTGTGCCCATCAGCTGTGCCCCAGTGCTCGCCAGCTGCTCCCAGTAAACCGGCTCTGGAGCAGAGGGGACGCTTGCTGCAGGGCGCAGAAGCAGAGACCGAAGCGTTTTCGTGTGTAGAAAGTGAGGTTGGCACCAGGACTCGGGCTGGGGCTGAGTTACTGCAGGAAAAGCTGCGTCTGCAGTGGTGGAAATGACCCCTCTGCCTTGCGGGGCTCGGTTGCTTTTGGTTTGTGTGGGGCGCTGTGAGAAACTGCACCTCAGCCCGGCCTGGCTTGTGTGGGGGTGACAGGGATGGGGGGCGTCCCCTCTGGCTGCTCTGGGTCCCCTCTGATGCTGGTAGCATCCAGGCGTGGGGTAATTTGGCACAGGTTTGGGGCTCAGTGGTCACACCAGGTCACCCCTGCATGGATTGGGTCAGCCCTGCACACAGAGCTGAGCACAGAGGATGGAGCCAGGGGGGAAACTTCAGGGTCATGGCAGCAACACCCACTCTTCACAAACTGCTCTTGCAGACCCCAGGGGTCCCCCCACTCCTCAGGACCCCACCGCCCACCAGGGCAGCTCTGCAGCGCTGGTTGACCCTCACCCTGGCAATTGAAGTCCATTCGCTGTCCCCTCGGTGTAGCACGGGGACAGTTTGCTCCCCGCTTCCCTCGAGCAGTTGTTGGGGTGCTTGGTCTCACGTCTTCTGTGAGCAGAGAGTGATTTACTACACGGCTGCAGATGGAGCAGCTGCACCTTGCCCTGTGGACATCACAGACATCACCCATGAGCACCCCAGCCCCTCGGATGCCAATTCTCGCTGCTTTTTGGGTTTACGGGGGTCGTGTGGGGCTGCTCACAAGCCCTGACCCCTTCTGCAAGGGATTCCTTGCACAGAGAGTGGTTCCCACGCAGGAGTGGCTCACATCTGCTGCAACTCAGCCCCTTGCACCCCTGTGCCGGGTAACGGCCGCGACGAGGAGGGGGTGGTGTTATTTTGGACAACCTTTTTTGCATTTGTTTTATTTTCCTCTTTCCCCTTTTGGCAGATCGCAGAAGGGATGGCGTTTATTGAGAAGAGGAACTACATCCACAGAGACCTGAGAGCCGCCAATATCCTGGTGTCGGCCATCCTGGTGTGCAAGATTGCGGATTTTGGGCTGGCCAGAGTGATCGAGGACGATGAGTACACGGCCCGGGAAGGTGCGGGGGTGGCTGGGGATGGCAGAGGGTGGTGGGATTCCCTCAGAGCCACTGTCAATGTGTCACCGTGGTGGCAGGGAGCCCGGGAGGGACGTGCTGGGTAAACAGGCAATGAGAGAAGCTCCTCTCATTTGCATCGCTTCGCATCTTCCTCTGCTGTGCTGTTTCCTGTTCCCCAATTTTCACCCCCAGTCTCTCGGCGTTTGGGTTAGAGCTGACGTTTCCTGCTGGATCTCTCTGCCCAGGTGCCAAGTTTCCCATCAAATGGACCGCCCCAGAAGCCATCAACTACGGATCTTTCACTATAAAATCAGACGTCTGGTCCTTTGGGATCCTCCTGACCGAGATCGTTACCTACGGGCGCATCCCATACCCAGGTAAGGAGGGGAAATCCCTCCTCCGATCCGCTTCCAAAAGCCACGCTCCACCTCCCCAGCCCCATCCATGGGATCTGTTTCTCCATGGAGTCAGGTCGCTAAAAACAGAGGGAACAGGGAGAAATCTGGATCTCACCCTGGGAGCAGAGCTCAGAGATGGTAGCACGAGGGCTCGGGATGGCAACGCTGCCTGCGAGCCATGGAGAGGAGCCCAGAGCATGAGCCAGGCACCGGCACCGCTCATCCAGCCACATCCACAGCTTGGTCCAGAGCTCCTGGGGTGGAAAGCTGGGAGGATTTTCTCCCTAGGAGTCCCCAGCGCAAGTAAATCAACGTTGCCACAAACCGACCGTGGATGACCTGGGGTGGCAGCAAGGGTCGTCCTGGAGGACCAGTTGTGCCATCACTAGTTTTTATTGGAAGGAACGGCTCATTAAGGACTCAGCAGATGGAGAAGTGTAGCCTTTATTTTGTAGAAATTTATCCAAAATGATTATTAATTCCCACCTGATCTGCTCTGGGGAACAGCACGTTACAGCTAACTCAGCATCTCGGTTGTCCGCACGTTTCCCTGACCAGGAGCAGGAGTTCTCCCTTCCCAACCCCTCAAACCCGTCCTTTCTCTTCCCAGTGACATTGCCCAAAGGATGGGTGGGTTTGGGCTTGGGTTTCGTGGCTTTTAAAGCAATCAGTGCTAAACCACGAACCGTTCCCCTGTCCTGCCCCATTCCTCCAGGGATGTCGAGCGCGGAGGTGATCAGGGCCCTGGAGCACGGGTACCGGATGCCCCGCACGGAGAACTGCCCTGAGGAGCTGTACGACATCATGCTGAGATGCTGGAAGACCAAACCCGAGGAGCGCCCCACCTTCGAGTACACGCAGAGCGTCCTGGAGGATTTCTTCACCGCACCCCCGCCCAGCCGTAACGCAGGGAGCCCATGAAGGCAGCGGGGCGCCCCGCTCTGCCCCATCCCACTCCTGATCTGCCTGCGCTCGCCTTCCTCTGCCAGCCTGGCCCCGGGACCACAGCCCTGCTGCTGTGGCTGGGCTGGGAGCAGCAGCAGGAGGAAGCCAGGGCTGCAGGGGAAGCGACTGGGGGCCGTACCTTGTGCCTTTGGGACGTGCTCGGGCGCAGGGAAGCGCTGGCCGCACGGTGGTTGTTCACAGCAGCAGCACCACGCAAGGAGGAACGGGCCTGGGCCTGGTTCAGCTACAAAGAAAACCCCACATTATTATCTTTTTTTCAATCCTCCCGAGATCTTATCACGCTATTTTGCAGCAGTAGGTGCCTCAGCCACAGCGGCCTGGGCGAAATGTCGCTACCCCTCAGGCGTGTGAACGTCAAATGGCACAGAAACACTTCTCCCTCCTTGCCCTCCTCTGCGTCCTTCCCAAACATCTCGTGGGGTGCTGCTGTGCAGAGCAAGGGGTTGGTGAGGTTGTGCTGTGGGGTACAGACAGACATGGATGGTGCCTTACGGGGATCCCTGCATGGACCCCCCCATCGCTTGCCTTAGCAGGAGCTGCTGCAGCCAAGGTAGCCCCAGCCCAGCCCCAGGAGCCCACTTTCTCGGTGGCACAGCCCCACTCGTGGTGCAATTTCACATCCACTGGGCCACGTGTGGTATCTGTACGAGCCCAGCGCTCCCTGCACGCTCATTTTACGTTGTTGTTTATTTAATGCTGGGTTAACTGGGGGAAAGGAGGAAGTAGGTTTGTTGTTTTCTTTAAAGCTTGCCCTGTACATCTCGCAGCAGGGAGCTTGTGAGCCTGTGATTGTATTTTCCTCACATAAAGAGGCGTTTCTATGCTTCTCTGAGCTTCGGGAGCTTCTTTTTGTACTTCATAAAGTATTTCTAAACCTCTCCTCTTTTGGTCTTTCCTCACCTTCCCCAGTCCCAGCAGGGGAGGGACGCGGATGGGACAAGGTCGGGGACCCTCGGGGCGGGCCCGTGGACCGGAGGTGTCGGACCGGAGCGACCGGACCGGACCGGGCCGTTCCGGGCCTCCC